GTCTAGGCCCGAAACGTCAGCCTTCCTGCTCCTCTGATGCTGCTTGGCCTGCTGTGTTCATCCAGCTCTACACCTTGTTGTCTCAGATTCTCCAGCATCTGCAGTTCCTACTCTCTCTAACTACTAATCCCACAGCCTTGTATGGGCCCTCATCTAAATGCTCCTTGAATGTTAAGGGTTTCTGCCCCTACCACCCTTTATAGGCAGTGAGTTCTGATTTAACTACTTTTTCTTTTTTATTCTAATTGTTCAAATTCCAAAGTACAATTCAGGGAAAAAAAGCAGAATTGTCCTGGCCAGTGTCTTACCTCATTCAAAAACATTGATAACAGATCACCAGTTTCACTGCTGTTTGCAGATTGTCACGTTTTGTTGAGTGAGATTCAAAGACATACTGTATAAATTTGATTTCTCAGTTAATAGCTTGACTGTGACATATATTTTGCCAGCATGAGGTATTTTTATATTCTTCAAAAACTGTTTTTTCTGATCAATGAAGTCTTAGAGTTGACAGTGCATCTTATTTCAGTGAGCCCTGAAATAATTTTGAGTCTTTGGCTGTGCAATGACTTTGGGAGTTCCTAATCTTTGGATACTGGACAGAGAATTCCATACAAGATTTTTACTGCCTGTAAAAAGGTAGGAGTCAAATGTACATAGTACTTTTCATGTCTTTAAAATGCCCAGTGCTCTTTACAACCAGTGAAGTACTTTTGCACTGCTGTAGTTGAAAGCATGGTGGCCAATTTGCATTTCTCTAATTACAATAGATATAAATGAGACTATGATCAGAAAGTCATGGTGGATGAGAGACATACACAGAGCACATTGCCAAGGTGAATTCTGGTATATTTGAGAGATCATTTACATCCAGCTGGAAAGGGGGTGGGGCTTTGTTTACATGTTTCACCAAGAAGAAGCCTGGCTGACTCCATGTTGGTATAAGCAACTTGAAGTCAGCATTAACTTTATTTTTGCTGTAATAACTGATTTAATTGAAAGCTCTGTTCAGCTGAACCAATGGCACTTGATGCTACAGTATGTATTTTGTCAATTAATTGATCTGTTTTCTTACTGTACTTTTCTTCAGGAGTCTAAAGAAATTGTCCTGGATTGGTTTGATGATTCTACTTGTTGCCCATGCTAGCAAAACAATTTATCGCAATTGGGATTGGGAATCTGAATACACCCTATTCATGTCTGGTCTGAAGGTATGATAAATTTTGTTTGGAGTGGGGATGGGAATTAGGTTCTTATCTGGAAAGTTGAGTTGGCTTGTATCTTTTTTAAAGCTTTTGAAATGTTCTTTATTTGACCATTGTAGGATTCTCCTATAAAAGAAACATCTTTTTAATCACACTGCAGCTAACATGACAGAATGGAATTAAATATGAACAGAAACAGAGCCGATTTCTATATTAAAAAATGTTACATGGAAGAAATCTATTTTGGTCTTGTTATTCTGTGCACGCAGGTAGTGGTAGGACAAATAGAGAAGGCTGTTGAAAATAACATACGGAACATACGGGACCACTTGCTTCATTAGTAAAGATATTAGATACAAGAGTAAAGATGTTGTGCTAAATCTTCATAAGACGCTGGTGAATTCTCAGCTGGAATAGTGCTCAGTTTTGGCTCCACGCTTTCAGGAGGATATCAAAGCTTTGTAGACGTTACACAGGAGGTTTGCTGGAATGTGCTACAGACAAGGAATTCCCATTATTTGGAGATATGTGAAGTAGGGGTGTTTTCTTTCGAGCAGTGAATGTTAGAATGGGGAGTTGATCGAGGTGTTCATAAACGTGAATAGTTTTGATAGAGAAGCTGTTTCCAGTGGCAAATGAGCTGACAGAGGGCACAGCCTGTAATTCACACAACAGCCAGAGACAACGTGAAGAACCTTTTTTATAACAAAGCAACTTATTGTGATTTAGAATGGATTGACAGGAGGCTGAAAGATTTGTCTGTAATGTTCTAAAAAAAATTGGCTAAATACTTGAAGGGTAAAAATCAACAAGGGGCAAGAGCAAGATCATGTGGCTGATTGGATTGTTTGATCAAAAAAATTAGCAAAGATGCAATACGACAACTAGTCTCTCTTTGGACTGCATTTTTTAATTCAACTAATTTTGATACAGAAGGGTGTTGCAGCCTTAAAAGTTCAGCGTTCACCTTTGCTCTCTCGTTTGTGTATCTTAACTTCAGTATTTGGACCTTGTATCTGTGGGAAATTTGGGCAAAAAGGAGACAATATGTATATAAATAGTTTGATGTTCAGCTTTTAAAGTGGATGTGCAGGAATTTGGCAACCTTCAGGAGTTTTGCTGCAAAACTAATTACACAATTTTTTCAAAATTAAAGGTCAATAAAAACAATGCAAAACTTTGGAACAACGTGGGACATGCTTTGGAAAATGAACATAACTATGGGAAAGCTTTGAAGTTCTTTATTCAAGCCACTAGGGTTCAACCAGGTAATGCAACCTCCATTAAGTTACAGAGTACTTGTGCAGTTTGAGATGGGTGTATCCCTTCTGGTAATTGTTCACATCAGATGGGAAATGGGAGTTTGGATTGCATGCAGCTTGAATTGACATTGGCTGTGCCAATTGAACATGCAGTCCAATGAGCGTACGTTCACATATCACAAACATGTGTGAGCATCATTGGGATATTTTGTGTTTTGCTACTGCACATGCAAGCAAAATTCTAACCCAATTCACAAGTCGAGGCCGTGAGTAAGAAGTTTGAAGAAAACTAACCGGACAATGGGAGCAAAATTTGTGTGTTGGCAACTGAGAGACTTTTTTCTTTACCATGCTGTATTAATAAAAAATCTGAAACTTTTCCAAAGTCACTGTAAATAACCGTATGAGCCAAGGGCGTGCCTTCCTTGCACATTGCTATATTTGAGCCAGTTTTTCTTTTGTTTCCTGAACTGTTGCTTTGTGAACTGGACTGTCAGGCTATCATTCATAATTACACCAGACTTGAAATACGAGCAGCATTAAAATTGCAATATTGCTTCAGTATTCCGAATTGTTGAAACATCAAACTTTCATTAGGGAACCATGGTCAGAAATCACACACCAGCTTAGAATTCAACAGGTTTATTTGAAAAACGCAAGCTTTCAGAGCCTGTCTCCTCCTTCGCTAACACCCGAAGAAGGAGAGAGTCTCTGAAAGCTTGTGTTTTCAAATAAACCTGTTGAATGATGACCTGGCGTTGTGTGATTTCTGACCTTGTTCACCCCAGTCTAATACTGGCACCTACACATTAGGGAAGCGTAAACTGAGAAACCTGCATAAGACGCGTATGGCCTGTCCTTTTGATACATTTTAGATTGGATATGTGTAAAGCCTGTAGAATGTGGATTAATAACACAATGTGGTGTGTTTATTGTTTTCTGTTTTTACCACAAAGATGATATTGGGGCTCACATGAATGTTGGAAGAACGTACAAAAACCTGAACAAAACTAAAGAAGCAGAAGATGCCTACATGCTAGCAAAATCACTTATGCCACAGGTATGCTGAGCCTTCACAAGGTCAAACAAATCTTCTATCACATCAGTTTGTGCTAGGAGTGCCACTTAATGGACAGTTCCAAAAAAAGTGTCGTATTAAATTAAAATAGTGATTACTTTTCTCTTCACAGATGCTGCCTAGCATGCTGAATTTGTTGGCACCCAGTTTTTAGTTTGCATAATGGCGAGTAATGTTTAAATATGGTATCTAAAAGGCCCGATTAAATCCACGCTGAGATCTTCAGGCTAATGTAGTTGCATGATCCAATGTGTAATTTTGAGAAATGTCAGAAATCATTTGCTGCTTTTAATTTTCATAGAATTGACACAATAATAATTAAACAATTATCAGAGGTTAATCATCCTCTAAATTTCAATTTATTAGAACATTAGGATCAAAAATGGGTCAGTTAGGCCCTTCAGAACTGCACTACTATTGAATTAGTCTTACCACCTTAACTTAATCCTCCAGGCCCTGATCTTTCTGGTTGAAACTGCAGATACCTCTTTCAGTGTCAATGTTTTCTTTTATACAGTGCATTGCCCAAAACTAGTCCAATAGCTCTGATGGTGTCTGACTAAAATTGTATACAACTGAAGCATAAGTTTCACTGCAGCCCCTTTAAAATAAAGCACAAAGTTCTATCAGGTTAGCTTTTTTGTTTATTCCAGATTTTATTGAATTCAAATGTTACTATCTGGTATAATGGGATTCAAGCCCATATTCCAAGAGCCTTGGGTTTTGGATTACTTATCCAGTGATATTACTATTACCACTACCTCTCGTTCAGTGATTCATGAACCACGTTCCTTCGGACACTAACATTTCTAAGTGCCTCACCATTTAAGAAACGTTATTTTGTTCTATTCAGGTAATGTGAATAGCTTACGACTTATTCACATTATGTTCCATCTGCCATGTTTTTGCCCATTTACTGAGACTGTCTAATAAGGAAAGTCTCCTCACATCTTTCTCACAACATACGTTTCCACCTTGTTTTGTATCATCAAATTTGGACTGCTTGCTATCTCTCTCTGCTCCTGTATGGTTTCACTGTTTTACACATACTTGGATTTGTCTTGTGTTGAAGTTGAATGGCCTTATTCTCTCATAGCCATGTTGAACTCCACTTGCCGTAGTTTATCCCACACACTCAATCTGACTCTCTTTTTGCAGCTCTCTGCACTTATGTATACTGCTTACTGTCCCTTCAATGTAATGTTAGTGGAAAACTTGAATATTCAGTTCACGAATTTTAATCCAAGTCAGCACTTTTCACAACCCACCAATCAGGAGTAGTTATGCCATGTTTGTAATATCTCCCAATTTACTTCCAATCCAAGTCAAAAAGGTACTGTTGATTCCAGTCTTTTATCTCTCGTTTTTGTTAGTCTTATCTGGAAACATACTGAATACCTTCTGGATGCTTGTGAAGATTACATTCACCAACACTTCTTTATCCATTTTATTAGTGATATACTCAGAGCACAACTATCTTTGAGAGATGAAACTCATTTTTGTCAAAAGCATATTGGCTGTCTCTGGGCAGCACATGTTCGTTCAACTGCTTGGTCACACTATCTCTAGTAACCCTTTGGGAACTGTTGGTAATTTGTTTTCCTCTCCTCCCCTTCCTGATCAATAGATTGACATTTGTCAAAGTTACTTGCTTACTGATTTAAAACTAGTTTCCTGTTTGTAATTTCTGTTGACTTATTTAAATGAATACAGAAGCCACGTAAAGTTAGTTAGTCATGATGTTTGCCTTTATGTTAAATATCTACACTGCTGCGAAAGATTCGACCCTATGGCTGTATCTACTGACACCACACCTGTTCTATGCATCGCTTCAAAATTCACGCACGCGTGTTTACTGAAGGTGACATGTTTACTTAAACAAGGCTTGTCTTCATTGCTAATATGAAAAGGTCTGAGGATCAAACAGGTGCTATAAATAAAAACCGAAAGAACTGCAGATGCTGTAAATCAGGAACAAAAATAGAAGTTGCTGGAAAAGCTTAGCAGGTCTGCCAGCATCTGTGAAGAAAAAGAATCAGAGTTATTGTTTCAGGTCCTGTGACCCTTCGTCAGAACTTGTATGTTATGGTGCTATAAATAAAAAACTTGAGAAAGCAAGGAGTGAAATCTGAAGCTTGCTGTTGTTGTATGAGAGACGTGGTTTGTGATGAGGGAGAGAGGTGAGATCAGTCAGGCAAGAAGAGTGGGAGCCGTAAGGATGAAAAGAAGATTCCCCCTTTTTCCGCTTCACCACCTGCATCCCCCTTGCCCAACCTCCCCGTCACCGCCCTCCCTCTGCCGATCATCGACCTCCCTCACCTTCTCTTTCCCCTGTGCTCCTTCCCTCTCTGAACTCCTTTTCAGTTGCACAGTCCTTTTCTGCACATGTGCAATTCATATATATAACGAAATTGGAATTCCACATGATGACGTAGAGCTGACTGCAAAGGCATGGATTAGATACTATCAAAATCATTGCACATGTGTGTTTCTGGATTGAGGTACAGTGCATTTGCAAATGATTGTGGTTATTGGCAGACTCTGGCTTTGTTTATATTAGTGTCCCACTCCTGTGGTCTGTATGTGTGTGGCTATGCCCGTTCTCTGTCACCACCACCTGTTCACATTACAAAAATCTGCGCACATGTAGGCAGAGAGCTTTCTAGAGGAAACCAGTGTGTTAATGCTGTTCAAGAACAAGTTACTGTCGTGCATTGGAATAAACTAACTTCTATTGCGTTGCCTAGTACATCATTTGTATAAAATACAATTTGAAAAACCTATTACAGAATTGAGGTGGACCATTGTGAATTTTTGCATGTTTTCTTTTTTGAGCAAGGTTATACCAGGAAAGAAGTATGCAGCACGTGTTGCACCCAATCACCTAAATGTTTACATCAATCTCGCAAATTTGATTCGAGGGAATGAATCTCGTTTGGAGGAAGCTGACCAACTGTACCGTCAAGCGATCAGTATGAGACCTGATTTTAAGCAGGCATACATCAACAGGTATAGAATCATCAAAACTTGCTGGGCAGAAGGACGCGAAGTATTCCTCTGTCTGTGCTGGCTCTTTGAAACAGCAACTGTGCTTAATCTTTGCTGAATCCAACTTTACTGCTTTTTGTCTCTAACCCAGCTAATTCCTCATCTTTAAGTATCTTTACAATTCTCTTTTGAAAAATATTTATCTTTCACCACTTATTCAGATAGTAATCTAGATTACTACAGCTCTAAGTGAAAAAGTCTCCCCATTTATCCTCTTCTTTTGCTTATGGTTTTATATCTATGATCTCTAATTAATGACCCACTCACCAGGGGAATGGCTTCTCTCTCTCTCTACTCTCTCAAAACCTCTTATCACCCTGGAAGCCTCTTTTAGGTTACTAAAGCTGAACCTTTGTTTTCTGTTCCATTGGTAAGGCTATTTTTTGTTCACACCTCGAAGATGCCAATGTTGAGAAGTCCCGTTGAGCTCCTGAAAGCAGTTTGATAAAGCTGTGTGGCTTGCTCAGTCATTCCACAGTTAGCTGAAATGTCAGTCACATTTGGTGTGGATTTGAAGTCACTGTGGGCAAGACTGGGTCATGAGGTTTCCTTCCCTAAAGGATATTAGTGAACCAGATATGTTTTCAGTGCAACCTGGCAACTTCATGATCACTTTTAGTAATACCAGCTTATTACTTATAGATTTGTTTAAAAACTGAATTCAGATTTTAATAACTTCCATAGTGGGATATCTCATTGTTTTCTCTGAAGTGCTAATCCAGTATTTTCTATTGTATTTGTCTATATAATACAAGCTTCTTTAAATGATCCCCACTGTGATTAATAGTATAAACTATGCTGGCATTTAAGTTCAATGTGCTCCACGTGTGCTGCAAGCAGAGCACTGCTGAGGTTTATTAGAAACTTCATATGAACATGAGTAGGCCATTAGCTCATTGAGCTTGCACCATCATTTAATACTGTCATGGCTGATTGAACACCTTAGTATCTTTTTACCTGAACCATCCCCATAACCCTTTATGCCATTGATAATCATAAATCTAGCAACTTCTCCTTTAATATTCCTGAAGACTGAGCTTTCACAGCCTTCTGGGTTAGAGAATTCCAAAAATTCACAACCTATTCTGAGTAAAGAAATTTCTCCTTGTCCTATAAGGCATCTCGCCTTATTTCTAAGTTGTGAATGTTTACTGTTCCAAATAATTTTCCTTTAACTGATGTAAGTCATTACGTACATTTCCCAATGTGACAATGTCAGAGACTTTTAAAATGTTTTAGAACCTTAAAGCTGGTTGTTTGAACAGTATGTTGTTATTTGATGAATTAAATCTTAATTTGTACTGCTGACTTTCATTTTGTCTTGTGACAGCATCTCAGTGTTATCGTATTTCCAGTTTTTAAAAAATGCAGGTTAGTTATCTGAATCAAACAATGAATTTGTGTAGGCTATTTCTTCTAAATACGATAAGATTTGTGTTATCTGCCAATATCAGTTAACCCATTGCAGTTCGTGGTAATAGAAATTATAATAGTCTCTTGTACAGATGCTTGCAGGAGTACGAGTTAGTACCTGACCAAATTTGTGGGATTTTGCTGTGCACAACTATTCATTGGTTGTTCATGGGTTGGTGGCATCACTGATGACCAGCATTTGCTGCCCATCCCTAGTTGCCCTCATGAAGATAATGGTGAATTGCCTTCATGAACTGCTGTCCATTTGCTGTAGGTAGACCCACAATATAGTTAAGGAGTGGGTTCCAGGGCTTGACTCAGTGACCCTGAATGAAAGGTGATGTTTCCAAGTCATGCTGGTGAGTAGCTTGGAGACAAAATTGCAAGTGGTGGTGCTCCCATCTATCTGCTGCCATTGTCCTTCCAAATCCTAGAGGTTGTGGATTTGGAATGTGATGTCTGAGCAGCCTTGGTGAATTGTGCATCTTGCAGATGGTACTGGGTGTCGGTGGTGGAGGGGATGAATGCCTGTGGATGGGGTGCCAATCAAGCAGCTACTTTGTCCTGGATGGTGTTGAGCTTCTTGTGTTGTTGGAACTGCGCCCATCCAGGCAAGTGGGGAATATTCCGTCACACTCCAGACTTGTGCCTTGTAGGCTGTTGACAGGCTTTGAGGAATTAGGTGAGTTACTTGCTGCAGGATTCTGAACCTCTGACCTGCTGTTGTGGACAGCATTCCCTCTAATTCTCATTGCGGCTGCAACTTACCTCCGAGGGGTCCGTGCTCGGCAGTGACTTCCAGGACCAGAAGTCAATGTCATGATTAGCTTACCGTAACTGGCCAGGTTGGATTTGTCCTGCTTTCTGTGTATAGAATATAACTGAATTTTCCATGTTATTGGATAGATTCCAGTGTTGTAGGTATACTGGAAATGCATATTGCTAGAATGCTGTCAGTCCCAATAGCCTTTGCTGCATTCAGTGCTTCCAGCTGCGTGATATTGTTTGGAGTGAATTGAAATAGCTGGGGGCTGCTCGGGGAGACCAAGATGGATCATCCACTCAGCAGTTGTAGCTGAAGATTGTTGCAATTGCTTCAACCTTACCTTTTGCACTGACGTGCTGGGCTTCCCTGTTATTGAATAAAAGCTGAAAGAACTGTGGATGCTGTGAATCAGGAATTAAAACAAAGTTGCTGGAAAAGCTCAGCAGGTCTGGCAGCATCTGTGAAGGAAAAAAACAGTTAACATTTCGGGTCCGGTGACCCTTCCTCAGAACTGATGGTGACTGGGAAAACATCAGTTTATATGCAGAAAAAAGTGAGGGGTATGGGGTAGGGAATAAACGATAGGATAGAGCCTAAAGAGAGAGAAGAACAGTTGGATAGACAGAGTTGATAACGATCAGGCTGGAAGGGTGAATAGTTGTTAAGTTGTCTTTGTCTATCCAACTGTGCTTTTTCCAGTAACTTTGTTTTTATTCCCTGTTATTGAGGTTGGGGATGTTTGTGGAGTTCTTTGTCCGCCAATATTGATGACCAGATGTGGCAGATTTGAGGATAAGGCAAGTATGTTTCTCCCTCTTGTTGGTTCCCTCACCACCTGCCGCAATCCAGTCTCCCAATTTTGTCTTTTAGGACTCGACCAGCTCAAGGCTGCTGATCCAGTCTTGTTGGTAGGCATTGAAGTCCCCTACCTAGAGTATATTCTGCTCCCTTGCCACCCTAAGTGTTTCCTCCAAGTGCTGCACAACATGAAGGAGCACAGGTTTATCAGCCAAGGGTGGAAAGGTATTTAGTAATCAGCAGGACCTTTCCTCGCCTATGTTTGACCTGATACCATGAGATTTCCATTGCGTTGTGAGTCGATGTTGAGGACTCCCAGGGCAATTCTGTCCTGGTGGTATACCACTGTGATGCTACCTCTGCTGGATTGGTCCTACTAATGGTGCAGAAAATGTGATGGTGTTGTTTAGGTCATAGTGTACAACTTTGTCAGGCTGTTGCTTGACTGCTTTGCAATTGTGGCTCAAATCCCCGTAAGTAAGGAGAACTGTGTAGGGTTGACAGGCCTGTGTTTACTGTTGTTGTTTCCTCTGCCTTAGTTGATGCCAGTGGTCTCTCTGGTTTAATTTCTTTTGTGAGATTTTCTAGCTGTTGGTAAGTGCTGAGTGGCTTTGGAGGCCATTTCAGAGGGCCGTTGAGAGTCAAATCACATTATGGGTCTGGAATTACGTGAGCCAGATCAGATAAGGACAGCGTTGTGCTTCCCTGAAGAACATTAGTGAAATAGATTGGTTTTTACATGGTTTCATAGTTACTATTAGATTTTTAATTCTAGGTTTTTTTTTTCAAATTGAAATTCACCATTGCTGTAGTTGGATTCGAATCCATATACCTAGAATATTACCTGAGTCTCTGGATTACAGCCCAGTGACAATACCACTTTGTCATTGCCTTGCCAAATTTGGCTCGTGCCATACCTATATTACAGCAGTGACTGTGTTTAAAAAAACACCTTAGTGGCTTTAAATTGTTTCAGAAGGTTTGAGATTGTGGATGGTGCTATATAAGTGCACATTTTTCTTCTTTCCCTTCCATTCATCTCTCAGAACAGTGGGATATATTTATTGCCTCTTTCCATGACTCGGAACTACAATGTTTGCACAGGCCATGCACTAAATAGTTTGCTTGATTCTCAGGGGTGAATTACTTCTGAAGATGGACAGGCCTCTGGAGGCCAGAGATGCCTACATAAGGGCCTTGGAGTTGGATAAGACCAATGCTGACCTCTGGTATAATTTGGCGATTGTTTACATTGAGCTCAAAGATCCATCTGAAGCCTTGAAACATTTCAACCAAGCTCTAGAAATCAGTTCTAACCACAAGCTGGCACTGTTTAATTCTGGTCTGCTTATGCAAGAATCAGGTAAATGGCTACATTATCCTTAAAAGCAATCTTTGCTTAAATCAGTGATGTGCTGAACGTAGAACCTGTGTTATAAGTTTAAAGCTGGTTTCAAACTTTTCTCATAAAACCTGTCAGTGTTTTGTGAGGTGCTTTTGGTAGAGTCCAAATGCCTGAGATAAATGTCTTTTTATCAATTGGTAGTAAGGTTAAGTCTTCTGTGTTATTAATTTAGTCCGTGGCTGCCATCTCTCAACAATTGAAAATCCCACTGGAGTCGAATAATGAAGTTGAATTGAACGTGCTGAACACTCATTGCAAAACCTTTAATTTGAAGGTGTCAAAACTCATTATTTCACACACTTGAAAACTGGAAAGTTTGTCAACACTGGTCTTTTTCACGTTTTTGCATTCCAATTGAAGGTCCTTTATGTGCACTTTGAGAAGCACTTAAGATGCACAAAATAAAAGGTGATTGATGTTTTGGAATATATTTAGAAGTTGTAAATGTAAAGATTGATTTAATCTTGTTCCTCAAATCTGTGTTGAATCTTTTTGATGACAGGATGTGGTGATTACACAAATATCCACAGGCTGGTCCACATCCATCCACTGTGGCCCAGATGGTTACATCCCCAACTCTGAGTCAGAGTTCTGGTTTCCTTTCCCACTCTACAGAAATCAAAGCTGATATGCCCAGTGCGGTACAAGTAAATGTTGTAGGTGCAGTCCTTTACATGCAGTGTCAAACTGAGGGCTCATTTGCATGCTTAGGTAAATGTGAAAGATTTCATGGCGCTATGTCAAAGAAGATGAGTGTTCTTCCTAGTGTCCTAGCTGATATTTATTCCTTAAAGAGGATCTTAAAAGCAAATTGTGTTTGGCAGCTAGTTGTAAGTTGACTGCAATGTTTCCTGCATTACAACAAGGACGGGGACGCAATGGCCCGGTGGTATTATCACTGAACTGTTAATCCAGAAACCCAGATAACATTCTGGGGACCTGGGTTCGAATCCTGCCACGGCAGATGGTGGAATTTGAATTCAACAAAATGTCTGGAATGAAGAATTTACTGATGACTGTCGATTGTTGGAAAAACTCATCTTGTTCACTAATGTCCTTTAGGGAAGGAAACGGCCTTCCTTAACTGGTCTGGCCTACATGTGACTCCAAGCCCACAGTAATGTGGTTGACTCTTATTTGCCCTCTGGGCAATTAGGTATGGGCAATAAATGCTGCCTAGCCAGCGACGCCCTCATCCCATGAATGAATAAAGGGAACAAAGGACTACATTTGAAAAGTACACCATTGGTTGTGAAGTGCTTTGAGACACTATATAAATGCAAGCCTTTCTCCCTTTGTCATGACCTACCTCTTTAATTGCCCTTTGAAATAGCCTAAAATGTTGCTCAGTTGTGACTACCATCTTTTTGAGAACAGTTAGAGATTGCCAAAGTCCGCTATATTTTGTGAATTAATAAATGAAGAACATGTCTGCCTGCTTTGGCTGAAAATCTCAAATCTTCCCACATAGGTTGCATTTATTGTGAATAAAATCATAATCAGGTGCAGCAATGAATATACATATATAAGAATGCAGCATTGCAACCAGCTGGTATCACCTGTCCCAGCTGCAGCTGTGCGTCTGGGTGTGGAGATGGGGGAGCTGCAGCAGGTTGTTTGGGGGATGGGAGTGGAGGGGAGCAGGCAGAGTACACCTCTCTGTCGCACCTCCCAGCTCCGGGAAAGGCCCCTCCCCATGTGGTGTGGCACCTGGACTAGGCCTTCCAGCAGGTCAATGCAGCAGCTAAGGAGAGCTACACCTCAGGCACTGCCAACTTGTTCAACTCCACCCTCTGCCTCAGCCTTATCTCCAGCCTCCCTCGGCCTGTCTTTCCGTGCCTGATGTCAGCCCTGGACGTGCAAACTGCGGCCTGTCGTATCGCCAGCTGATATCACAAACTGTGTCTGCACATATACGGGATCATTTTGACAATATGAATAATTAATCCATTCCAGTTATTGGATGAAATGGGACGCACTTAATGTGGATTAATTATTCAATTTTATAAGAATAAACATTTTTAGTAGATTAATTGAAAACTGGGTGCCCTGTCTCAAAGTGATGGTTTGAGTCCATTTCTAAGCAACTCCTGAGTGCATAATTTGGACTGATGCTTCCATTGCAGTCTCTGAAGGAGTCCTGCACTGCCAGCTACACCCTGTCAATTTGCTCAGTTGGGCATAAAAGGTGCCATGATTTCAAAAAAGAGCAGGTAAGTTACCCCCAGTGTCCTGGGGTCAATATTTATCCCTAAAACACCTTTTTGTTTTTGAAAGCTTAAGGCTTAGCAGGGTTTGTTAGTATTTTTTGTGAGCCCCTGATATGCACACATGCTGTTGTGTTTCTGATATTACAATAGTGACTGCACTTCAAAAATGTCCAATTGGCTGTGCGCTGCATTCTGTTTGTTTGAAGCCAAGCTGAGGATTACTATATTGCAGTCAGGGACTTGGAAATTGGTCACTTGGTAACCTCATTGATGTCCTTTGGAAATGAGAAGTAGCATTTTACCTCCCTCCACCTTTAACGAGTTGTGGGAAGCATGCAGTAATATAAATTCTAATAAGCTAATTCACACGGAAGGATTCTAAAACTGTAGTTTTGTAATGTGTTTTACATTAAGTCAAAAAGTATTCAGTAAAATGTAACCTTTCAGCTTCTAATGCATTCTGTACCATATTATGTCCTTTGAGTGAATTTCCAAAGCACTTTGCTTATCTTTCTCCCAATCCGTGGAATTATGATCTCTGGAGATCACATCCGTTAGATTAATTATTCCACCATTTAGTGAAATCGTGGCTGATCTGGGATCTAACTCCATTTATATGCCTTTGCCTGATTTTTTTTTTTAGAACCCTTGGTCAATGAAAATCATCTAAGCTCACTTTTTTAAAAAGGGCAATTGATTTAGCATAGACTGCGATCTTACATCACTAAAACACATCAATGTAATTCAGGTTGAAGAAAAGAAGAGGAGTTATTTGTCATGGTTGTAGTCAGCTGCTGCTAGCAGAAATTTAGTTTAATTAACAAGATGATTGATGTGCAGAAAATGAATTTTAAAACACCAAATGATTTGACATTTACATGTCTTTAACAGGTGAAGCCAGCCTGAGACCTGAGGCAAAGAAGAGGTTTTTGAGTTACGTGGAAATGGAACCTGAGGATGCAAATGGCTACTTCAATCTGGGTATGCTTGCCATGGACAACAAGGAGAACGTCGAAGCTGAATCCTGGATGAAGAAATCCATCCAGGTGCAGCCAGGTTTCCGCAGCGCGCTGTTTAACCTGGCACTGTTATATTCTCAAACTGGGATGGAGATGCAAGCTCTTCCAGTTCTGGAGGACTTACTGTATCACCACCCTGATCACATTAAAGGCCTTATCCTGAAGGGGGATATTCTCATGAACAAGAAGAAAGATATTAAAGGAGCCAAGCAGTGCTTTGAGAGGATTCTGGAGATTGATCCCTCCAACATTCAGGGAAAGCACAACCTATGTGTGGTGTACTTTGAAGAGAAGGACCTTGTGAGGGCTGAGGCTTGTCTGTCTGAGACTTTGGCTTTAGCACCAGAAGAGGAATACATCCACCGACACTTGAGCATTGTGCGCAGCAAGATAGCAGCTCAGGGCAGTGGAGGTGCGATGGAGCATTCAACACCAGCCATCAGCCCAGCAAAGCGAGGGGGAAGTGAAACCTCCACTAGGAACCAGAAGGGGCACAGCAGTGAACAGAGAAAAGCTTCTGAAATAGTGCACACTTCTGAAGGTGACACAGAGTTTTCCAGCAATTCAAAACAATCCCAAAACAAACGGACAAAAAAAAAGTCCAACAAAGAAATCAAAGAGATTGAAAAGAAGCGAGCTGCAGCTTTAAAGCGGCTGGAAGAGATTGAACGCATTTTGAACGTTGAATAGAATGAAAATTGTGAAAGCTGAGGATGTGAGATCATCATCCTTTTGACTTGATTATATTGTGGCAACAATGGTTTACAGTTTCCTGCCATGTAGGAAGCATTTATTTTATGCAAAGTAACTTAAATAGGAATCATAATAAATGCCAACAAAGCAAATGGTTTGACTGAAATCAAATTTAAACACTAATTTAACAAACTTAAAGGCTCCTACCTCCAGTCACCTTAGTAAACTCAAATGAGTAGCCTTTCACATAAAACAGTGCAGATTCTGGTAAATTCCTTGCATTTCAGGACCATACCACAATTTGAAGGTTTGGGAAGATCTTTAGCCACCCCAATGTTATTGGATGGTCCAGTAGATCAAACAATTTACGTGGTCTTCCCCTATTGGTTCAATGCTTAAGTGAATCACAAAATGTGGGATTACAGATTAGAATATTCAAGTTGAATCCAAACGTATTAGCAGGTTTCATCTGAGACCCCACAATCTGCTTTGATACCACTGGTTTGAGAGAGTGGGTAAAAAATTGCCAACTTTCACCATTTCGGCTGCTGTTTGGTGGTCCTGTTGGGAAGTGCATATGGATCAACGCGATACCTAAATGGGGCTTGGTTTAAAAAACTTGTCTTTCTCCCCCTGCTTCCCCTTGCAACCACAGCACATAGCAGCCAGAACAATGCTCAAAGAGCCAGGTTCAAACTGTGTCCACAGTGTGGCCTCAGAAAGAAGCAGAAACAAAAATTGGGAAAGAGAGCAAGTTTTCAAAGGCTTGCATTGGCTTCCCACCCAGAATCACTGGTGAAAGCGGTTCCTCTATTGCTGTGGCCAGTAAGCAGAATGTATGAGTCACAGCCGGTGGCCACAGGACTGGATACAATTTAGGGTATGTTGTTCTGCAGTGGTGGGTTATTTAAGGGGTGCTGTTGTACAGTAGAGCTAGCAAATTTTACACAACATTTTGGGAAACCTGAGTATCTTTGTTTAAAAGGAAAACGTTTCTGGAGGACTCCAAACTGTTTCCTTGAGTATGAGAGGAACTGTTTGAATTTTTGAATTCTGAAACTGTTATACAACCTGTAGCACACTTCCACAACCTCTTATTTATGTAATATATAACTGAGTGTTTTGTTTGCTGCCTTCACATGTTGGATAGTGCTGGGATAAGCTCAGTTTTCATTTTCTGTGCACAAACTTTAGTTACTGTGGCAATATAAGTATCTTTGCTATTCTGATAAACCACTCCTGAAAGAAATGTTATGAAGAAGCAGCACATTTTAACAAAAAATATGTTTGTGACTTTTTTCTATGTTGATTACTTGTATAAACATTTAGTCTTTGACTCAAATCATGCACCGAATTTTTTTTGGAAAAATTAAATATCTTGTGCTCATTTATCTTGAAGTCACCATTGGGTCAAACCTTATTTTTTTTGGCTGTACTTTCATGTTTCAATTCTCATCATACTAAGGACACAGATTTTACATCTTTCTTATATGTAATGCTGTAGTTACAGGAATTGCATCAAATTTTGTTTGGTTGAAATTTCTGATGAGTTTACACTGCAGATTTTTCCTGAGTTGTTCTCAGTTTTACCATGTCAGTTCATAGAGAATTGACTGAGTTTTTGATGGACTGAATCACTAAGCAGAAACACATTTTTAAGCGAAGCCACTCGATACTGATGACTCTAATGTCTTGATTTATGTTTTATTGACGTTAACAAGTGGTATAACCTGTCTCCTAAATGGATTACTTTTTTGTCTTTGCTTGAATACAAATAAACATTGAATTTCAGAAAATTGTGTCCTTGGGCCAATTTCTCTTTTTTAAGGGGATTTATGTGGGTTTGTCAACTGCCCCTTGTTTTGAGAATGCCTCCTACCCAGGGTTGTGACTTTTTACCATGAGCCTTCATTTAACTCAGCATGCTGATTCTCAAGCAGCAGGTCTTTGAGCTCATGAGGTAGTGGGATCCACAGTTCAGGATTTGCTTCTATTTCTTTGCTGCTGCTGCTCTGCCTCATTCTTAACTTTGACTCAATGTGTGATGCCACTTGATGGATAAGGTGTCACCATTTTGAGACATTAATGTCAATGCTGCCAGATTTGAGGGAGAACTTCTGAATGTCCTTGAAGTCGCACGGGGAGATGACTTTTGGTTCATCCCTCCAATGTTCTCCCTTTTCTAGAGCAATCTAAAATTAGACCCATAGCCTTGTCTTTGTTTCCTGTGACTTCAGTGTAGAAGTGCTGTTTCAGCAGCGGAAGAAGATTGACATAGAGGGTCATAATTGGTATTTGCCAGAAGGAGACATGAGTATTATAACATCCAAACACCAACTGAAGCCCTTGAAAATTTAAACTGTTTCCCAAAATGTCTTGCCTTCACAGTTAACATTTTGGGTTGATTGACCATTCCTCAGAACAGGTTCTAAATTCTGAGGAAGGGTCACTCGACCCGAAATGTTAACTCTGTTTTTTCCTTCACAGATGCTGCCAGACCTGCTGAGCTTTTCCAGCAGCTTCTGTTTTTGTTTTTGATTTAAAGCATCCACAGTTCTTTTGGGTCTTTTTTGTCTTGCCTTCATTATATAATGGCATGGTAACTCTGTTTACATATTGTAATGGCAACTACTTCACCTAACATGTGAAAGGTCTCCAGTTCAAAAGTGAACAAGCATTATTGTTAATCTGTGGGCTCTTGTGACACAGTGGTGGCACGTCTACCTCTAGGCCAGAAGGCTTGGGTTCAAGTTCCACTTTCTCCAGAGGTGTTTCCTAACGTCGGAGCAGAATCTTGTTGTGACTCTTATTGTGGTTTGCAAACTAAACCAATAGGTTAATTAGCTAAAGTACTGGCCCTTGTAGGGGCTTTAACAAAAAGCCAATTTCAAAGGAAACTGAATCAACAAACCCTGTGACAATGCCCAATGCACGGTCGTAACAAATGACAATTCTTTTTAAATTCGTGAATTGAAAAGGCTGGAAACATTCAGCGGGCCAAGCCAAGCAGTATCCATGGTGCCAAAAGCTGAGTTAATGTTTGAAGTCTGTGATCATTTGTTAGAACTGGAATACATTACAGGAAAACGGAAAGGCTGATAGGCGTTTCTGTGGCCACGAACGAGACTCCAGCATGGTGTGTTGCCTGTGTGGTGCCATGGTCAAGGAAGACTCTGAGCAGTCACAGGATATATTCTAAAAGGGGTGGGACGGTGAGCAGCCAGAGGTTGTGGTCCATATTTATCCTAATGACGTAGGCAGAATGAGAAATGAGGTCCTGCAAAGGGAGTTGGGAACGAAGTTGAAAAGAACAATGTAAAGGATTAAAGTCTTGGGATAACCTTTGTGTCACGTGCCAGTGAGAGTAGTAATAGGAAGATACTACAGTTAAATAGCTGTAGAAGGGATGCCTTCAGTTATGTGGATCATTGGCATGTTTTCTGGGGCAGGTGGGACCTGTACAAGAAGGACTGGTTTGCACCTAAAACTAGAGAAGCACCAATATCCTAGCAGGGAGGTTTGCTAGTGGTCCTCGCATCACCCCACCAACCTTCATATCCAACGTATCATTCTCCGCCACCTACAATCCGACCCCACAACCAAAGATATATTTCCCGCCCCACCCCTATCTGCTTTTCATAGGGACCGTTCACTCTGCGACTTCCTCGTCTGCTCCACACTCCCCACCAGCCCCTACCTCTGTCCAAGGCACAAAGCAAACTTTCCACATCAGACAGGGGTTCACCTGTACATCCTCCAGCCTGGTCTACTGTATCCGTTGCTCCCGATGTGGCCGCCTCCACATCAGTGAGACCAAGTGCAGACTTGGCGACTGTTTCGTGGAGCATCTGCGCTCAGTACGTGATTATCGACAACACCTTCCAGTTGTTAACCATTTTAACTCCTCCTCTCACTCCCTCAGTGACACGTCCATCCTGGGCCGCCTCCAGTGCCACAATGACGCCACACACAAACTAGAGGAGCAACACCTCATATTCCACCTCGGGAGCCTACAGCCTGATGGCCTAAATATGGAATTCACCAGTTTCAAAATCTCCCCACTCACTGTATTGAATGATTGTTAAATGTCGTCCCTATGCATTTGTAGTTAGTTAGTTAGTTAAGTGGAACTGGTAGACTCTGTGGTATTGGTCAAAAGTCACAATAAGTGGAGTTTGGAATTGAGCAGTGATTTCACGAAAGAGTGGCAGAGTTCTTTGCATTTGTTCTCCAATGATTCTAGGCGATATTCGTGCGAAGCATTTCCGAGTAACTATGATAATCAGGGTTGGTCTTGATTTCTGATTCAAAATAGTCAAGTATTGCCAGCTGGGCCAAACTGTGACAGTTTACCAGGAAGTTTGGCAACAACATTATATATGACCTTGAATGGAAAGTCCTATGAAGCTGAAAAAATCCCCCAAAAATCCTAAATGTAATAAGATATGCTGAGGATTGTGGTGCATTTAGTGTGTTGGTTACATGTATAAATTACCTTTAGCTTTGTTCTCATGCATCGTAACATCCTTCTCATCTCTTAATTGTAATGACAGACAAGTGTTCATTCTAAGATATGTCAGCCGAGAGTTGTATTCAGTCACTCTGTAAAAGCATTTTCTTTGGGAATAATGGGTGAATATGTCAAAGGTGTGATTCCATATGTGAATTTCAATATCAGTTCCTTCGTCAGAAGAAATATACATTAAAACACGTTCAGCTGCTGAGTGCTCTCCCGCTAATGTTCTCACACCAGCGTTGTTACTGTGCAGTACCTAATCAGCCACTATTTTTACCTCTGGCTAAATTTAAGGGTGCGACTAGGCTGTAAAGTTCGTGTTGAATTATTTCCTGCAATTGTAATTTGGATCTTGTTTCTTTTTTTAAAATAAAACTCCATTATTTTGATCAAAATATAAATGACTTTAAAAACAGGAAGGAGCTCCAACTTATTGTTAAATTTGATATTTATGTTTGGTCATTTATACCATGTGGAAGGTTTGCTTCAATAAAAAAAAGGTAAATGTTATGTCATTTTTTTTACCAGACTTGGCTGAATGGTTGCACTCTCTCACCTCTGAGTCAGGAGATCATTAAATCAATATTTTCTTATTGTTCCTATGTGGGATACTATACAAAGAAATGCAATTGGATATCACTGGCTAGGCCGACATTTATTGCCAGTCCCTAATTACCCTGGAAAAGGAGATGGTGAGCTGCCTTCTTGAACACCTGCAGTCCATGTGCTGTAGGGATACCCTCAATGCTGTTAGAGAGAGAGTTCCAGGCTTTTAATCCAGCACTAAGGAAACATTATACAGTTCTAACTCATGGCGTGTGACTTGAAGAGAAATTTGCTGGTGGATGTGTTCCCATGCATTTCCTGCTTTTATCCTTGGTTGTAGAGGTTGCAGGTTTGAAAGGTGATGTTGAAGGAGCACTGGTGGTGGTGAGTGTGAACGTTTAGGGTGATGAAGAGGTATCAATCAAGTAGCTTGCTTTGGTCTGGACGATGTTGAGCTTCTTGAGTGTTGTTGGACCTATCTAGGCACATAGAGAGTATTCCATCCTGACACTCCTGATTTGTCGACCTTGTGGGCGGTATTTAGACTCTATTTAGGGAGGCAGGAAGTGACTTACTGCAAATATCAAAGGATGTTACAGCATAGGAGTCCATTCAATTTATTGAGTCTGTGCTGCCCCTTTGCCATACTGCTGCAATTTGCCTTATTTTTCTGTGTTTTTCTCCCATAATCCTGTAAGTTAGTCCCTTTTAAGAACATGTTAATTGCCTTTTAAAAGTTTCTATGAAATCTGAATCTACCATGCTTCCAGAAAGTGAATCCCGGATCTTTATAACACCCACTGAGCGGCAGGGTGGCTCAGTGGTTAGCACTGCAGCCTTGCAGCGCTAAGGACCTGGGTTCAATTCCACCCTTGGGCAACTGTCTGTGTGGAATTTGCACATTATCTCTGCGTCTGCATGGGTTTCCTCTGAGTGCTCCGGTTTCCTCCCACAGTCCACAGATATGAGGGTTAGAGATAGTAGGAACTGCAGATGCTGGAGAATCCGAGACAACAAGGTGCAGAGCTGGATGAACACAGCAGGCCAAGCAGCATCATCGGAGCAGAAAGGCTGACGTTTCAGGCCTAGACCCTTCATCGGAAAAGAGGGAGGGGAAGGGGGTTCTGAAATAAATAGGGAGAGAGTGGGAGGCGGATAGAAGATGGATAGAGGAGAGGATAGGTGGAGAGGAAACAAACAGGTCGAAGAGGTGGGGATGGAGCCAGTAAAGGTGAGTGCAGGTGGGGAGTTAGGGAGGGGATAGGTCAGTCCAGGGAGGACGGACAGGTCAAGGGGGCGGGATGAGGTTAGTAGGTAGGAGATGGGGGTGCGGCTTGAGGTGGGAGGAGGGGATAGGTGGGAGGAAGAACAGGTTAGGGAGGTAGGGACGAGCTGGACTGGTTTTGGGATGCGGTAGCGGGAGGGGAGATTTTGAAGCTTGTGAAATCCCCATTGATACCATTGGGCTGCAGGGTTCCCAAGCGGAATATGAGTTGCTGTTCCTGCAACCTTCGGGTGGCATCGTTGTGGCACTGCAGGAGGCCCAGGATGGACATGTCGTCTGAGGAATGGGAGGGGGAGTTGAAATGGTTCGTGACTGGGAGGTGCACCTGCTGTGTTCATCCAGCTCTGCACCTTGTTGTCTCGGATATGAGGGTTAGGTGGATTGGCCATGCTAAATGTGTTCAGGGATGTGCAGGCTAGGTGGACTAGCCATGGTAAATGCAGGGTTGC